CTTTGTTAGCAGAGATTGGAAATATTACTTTTATTTGACTCATAATCCCAGTTTTTATCTTCAAAGATGGCCCTGCTAGTTGAGAGATATATGTAATCTTCAACAAAGTAATGTTGTTATTTAATATTTAAGGATATTTAATATTGATATTGTTATTGACCTTATGACCAATGCTGCATTGCTGATCAGGAGGAGGGTAGGTTTTGATTGAACATTAGAAGGACTTTCCTGATGGTGAGAATGGTTTGGCAGTGAAATAATTGTCTAGAGAGGTAGTGAGTTCCCATCTCAGGATATTGTCAAAAGAGGCTGGGTAGCTGAAGATCCTGCAATGAGCAGGGGATTGGACTTGATGGCCCATGAGCCCTATCCAACACTATGAAGCTATAACTCTTTGAAATTTAAATGCTTTGTTCAACATTTTAACTGAGCAGCATATCACACAGGCTCTTGTTTTATACCTTCCCACATAAGGCTGTACATATTCCATCGTAAACTATCACCAGGCAAGGAAAAAAAGCAGTCTTTTCAGCCCATATAATTCCATGATTGTGATTTTTTCCCCTGCCTATATAATGATGTTTGCCAAGATATAAGTCTAATCCATGTTCTAAATGGCCAGTTATCATGCACACACATTCTTTCTCCCTCCCTGGTCTCATTTTTATGGTTTTGAAGTGGTAATATTAGCCCCCTCCAAGCACATGTAGACAGCTTGGGAAGTAAGGTTGGTGGAAGAGTAAAAAAAACTGCTATGTTCACCTCTGATGTGAAACCCAAAAGACTGGAAACCTACGGTACTGGTTATTTGATCTTGTTTTGCCCTTAACTCAGTTTTGCATGTTGCAATTCTTCATGAACATTACTTCCATTACTAGAAAGTGTTTTAAAAACATGTAATTCTATTTCTTGAACACATTAATCTCACTGAACTTTTCTCCTATTCCATTGAGTATTTTGCTGTTGATTCAGGCTTCTATTCCCCAAGAGCCAGAAAAAGAGTTCTGTTGTTCTTTAATAGTGGTGTTTTTCAAAGCATTGATTTTGCTTCAAACATCCTTACATTTGTACAAAGTACAAAGAGCATCTCTAATTTTGACTTGCAGTTTCACACTGAAACTTTGAGAATACCCCATGATGTCCATGAAGAATGCCAGGTCTTGTGGCCTCTTTTGGTTGTCAGATTATTTGCAGGTCAGCATTTCATCTCAGTGAAAAGTTCTGTATTCTTCTTAAGCATGTCAGCTTATCTCTTTGGCTCATCCAATACACTTCACAATAATAAACCAAATCCCTATTCTCTGCTTTGAGACCTTTCAGTAGCTCCTTGAACTAATGACTGTTCAGTGCCCTACTTTTGATAAAGCAAACGTGGACAGATTGTATTCATTCCAAAGGAGTGCTTGCAAGAAATCTCCAAAAGAGTGATGCTATGCCACAGTACCTATTTATTTGTATCAAAGCTAACACAGGACCTTTCTTTTTTAACAAGGCCTGTAAATCTCTTCTGAGCACAAGTCATAGACCGGTGCAACATCAGTAGCAAGACAGATTCTCTCTGATGTCATGACGGTGAAATTCCACATGAGAGAATAGCTAGCTAGATGCTGTTATGTCAGTTGTCTTGTCAACAGCCAATGGGTTGAACACAAATTAATAAACAGAGCCTTTCTGAGACCTAACATTGTTGCCCTTCTCTGAACTTGTTCATATTTGTGTTTGCTCTTCTCAAAATACAGCATCTCAAAGTAGACATAATATTCCAGATGGGATTAGACTAGCCCAGAATAGAGTAGAATCACTGCTTGTTCAAACTTGAAAGTGATGGTCATACAAATGCAGCCTAAAATTGAATTAGCCTTTTTTGCAGCTCCATCACACTGCTGACTTCTAACCACCTTGAGACTGACTGATCACAGGCTTGATCCATTTCATATATACTTCTCCCAAACCAGACACTTCTCATATGATACTACTGAACTTTTCCTTCCTTCCTTCCCTATTCTTCCTGAAGTTTTTCATTTGTTTGTTGAATTCCTTTTTGTTTTCATTTGGTTTTTCACTGTTAAAACTTTGAATTTTAAAATGTTTAAAATATATTGAGACATTGTCTATCACTCCCAAGTTCTGTGCCATCTATAAGTATGAGAAGGTTTCCTCCCTTCATTTATCTATTTCACAGGACCAGTCCTGTATACAGTTAGTATAAAATTCATCTAACCTGCTGGGACTATGCAAATATCATGTAAATTGAAAATGCATGATTTATTGTAGGCACAGCTGTTATAGTGCTGTAAATTAAGCCTGCATCAATATATCACTCTGCCTCCAAAGAAGTGGCACAAGTTTCCCTTCAATATGTAGATCTAGAAAACAAAATGTTTTTTCCCAAACAAAATGTTTGGGGGGGGGGGGGATCAGAAAGAGTTGTGATAAAGAATTCTGATAAACACCTCTTGTTTGGTTGAAATCAGAGTGTTTTGTTTTTCAATTTCAGAAATGGACACATGAGTGAATGGGAGAAGAGTTATCCTGTCCTAAGAAACTATAAGTATAGGTTTGAGCATATTGGTTTGACATTGGATGTTGGTGATTTGATATGGTATTCTACAATCTTGTATGTAAGGCTTTCTATCTTTCCCAATAAAAGAGTTAGAGCCAGTGAGAGGTATGACCAGAGGATAATACTTTCCAGTATCAACTGGTGCCTCCATGTTAATGGGGCAGTAAAGCTACTCTGGCTTGAACTTAAAAGACGATATCCAAAACATTGGACTTATTTGAGGAATTGCTCCTGTAAACTTGATATTATTTATATTTGTTTATAGCCCACATTTCTCCCAGTAATAGTACTCAGTGTGGCCAACAACATACTTAAAAAGAATACCAATTAAAAACTATACAAAGACTATACACATTTTTAAAAGAGCACTGCACAGTATTTAAAAGCCATTCCAGTCAGTTTCCAAAATGTTTTCACTTGCTGATAGTAGCAGAGCAAGGATGGGGTCATCATAGAAAGCAGCAACTGTGACATTCTCTTCCTTGCTCTCAAATGAGCCTAAGATGATATTGCAACAGAGAGAATGGCCTCTTTGGGTGACATTAGTACATAAAGGGAGACATGGTCCTTCAAATAGCCAGGATCCAGTAGCCAGGATCCAAGCCACGCATGGCTTTAGAGGTCATCACTTTTAATTATGCCCAGAAATGGACCAGGAACTGTTGCCACAAAGATGCCCCTTCAGGCTTTATATCATTATTTCCAACATGTGATGGGCAACCTTCAGGGATTAAGTGGTTTAATTGACTTATTGGGAAAGGCCACACACATTTCATTGCACCAAATTAAAAAAAGGTTGGTCATCAAACTACTCCAACACATCCTTGGGATCTGGGACTCAGTTTTCTCACCCACCCACCTCCTGTCACCTTTAGGCCTAAAAAAGGGCTTTTTCAAAAGTAAGTAAACTGAAATTCTACTTCTGTATCTTCTAATAGGAAAGAATGGCCTCTTCTGGGCTAAAATGACCTGAGCCAGATGAGGAATTTCTGCAATTGTGCTCCACAGCCCCTTGTTTCCAACATTTCTACCCTGTCCTTCCCAACTCCTGAAGGGGGACTCAGGGTGGCTTACAAAAGCAGCAATTTGATGCCAACAACATGCAATACATTATGTACAACATTATACAAAAGATAAAACATTAGATTGAAATACATTTGGAATATTATTATTATCATGTAACTGAATCAAAATCTGATATAGCAACCAATGACCCAGTCCAAAGCCTGCCATAGTAAAAATTCCAACATTATGATTACTACCAAACCTACTGACCAAAGGCCTGATCCCAAAATCATGTTCTGAGCTTCTTTCTAAAAGAGAGGAGAGACCTAGTCTCACTAGGGAGAGCATTCCATAAGCAGGGGGCCACCACCAAGAAGGCCCTGTCCCTCGTCCCCGCCAAACACACATGTGAAGAGGCGAGGACCGAGAGCAGGGCCTTCCCAGATGATCTTAAATTCTGAGGTGGGTCGTAGAGGGAGATATGTTTGGACAGGTAAGCTGGGCTGGAACTGTACAGGACTTAATAGGCCAAGATCTTGGCTGCCTATTTGTTTCAGGGCCCAATTCAAAGTGGAGGTCCTATAAAGCCCTACATGTTTTGAGTCCCACTTATTTGATCAAACACATTCGCCCTTATGAACCAACTTGAGCCCTGATGTTCACAGTGGGGGGAGCCCTCCTCCCATCACAAGCATGGCTGGAGGGAACGAGAGAGAGGGCCTTCTCAATGGTAGCTCCCCAGCTCTGGAATGCCCTTCCCAAGGAAATTAGATTGACTTCCTTATTGCTGATTTTTAGAAAGCTACTTAAAACTTGGTTCTTGGAGACGATCAGTCTTCAGTGGAGGTATTTTAGTGAGATCAATGGTTTTAACATTTTAATGCTTTTATTCCAGCAAGAATGGCTATTGTTGATGTTGTGCTGTGTTCTTCTATGTTTTCAGTATTTTAACTTATGACCTAGGTACTATTGTTTTTTGTAAGCTGTCCTGAGTCTTTTCCAGGAGAGGGGGCGGGATATAAATAAAGCTTCTTCTTCTTCTTCCTCCTCCTCCTCCTCCTCCTCCTCCTCTTCTTCTTGTGGCATTTATCAACAAAAAAGAGGCATTAGAGGCCATAAAATGTCAAGATGGGTTCACTTTTGCACTCCTGGTATAGAATTATGGGAATAGTTGCTCACTAGTTTTTTGTGATGCAGAGACATTCCTTCAATTTATGACCTTTCAGAACCACAAATGTATATTCAAGTCTGAACACTCTGAAGCTTCCAACAATTAGTAGAAGGTCTAATTTATTTGCAGACAGAGAAAAGAAATGGATGTGTGCCATCTTCCTTGGATTGAAAGCAGATAAAAGCTGCAAAATTGCCATTGCATAAGAATCATAGGGGAACAGCATGCTAAAAAATTAACATCTTTCTCATGTCTTTACAGATTGACCTTTCCAGAACAGAAACGGAAACAGAAGAAAAATATTGAAAGCAAAGTGAACACTTGTAAGAAGTGAGCTACATGCACCTCTGAAGTGGGTCGAAATGTAGTCCTCTGGTAGGGCCATGAACCTACAATTAATCTATATATCTGTACTGATGTTTGGAGTAGCAGGTCTACTCCTCTTCATGTATCTGCAAGCCTGGATTGATGAACAACATACAGGTAACATAGCTGATCAATTAGGATTAACAAATAATTTTCTTTGTTCTGTTTTAGCTCTTTCAGTATCGATGGCATCTTATATTACTGGATCAAAGGTTACTGATTTTTTATTAATGGAATCAAAAAGTACTGTTTACCCTTCCAATAGAAGGAAACCCCTTGCAAGTAACTGGAGACCTTAGTCCTTTGTTGTTTATGCAGTATTGTCCTAAATAAAAAGCTGGTCCTTGACAGAATTGATCAATTGAAACAATGGGATTAATATAAGTGTTGGTCTAATTGGATATAAGAAGTTGATTTGCTGAGATGCTCCATTTCAGATTGGCACTTGGGTTCAGGCCATGGTGACATTCTCAACTAGTAGAAGAGATGGGATTAGCTTGGTGGAGACTGGATAATTTTATTAAAATTATAAAAGTGGATGGATTTGTAGATACGTTGAATGACCAGGTAGCTGGTTTCAATCAATTTAAAGCAATGCTAAATAGTGTTACATACAAGCCTGTTGCCTAAAAAAAAAAAAGGAAAGCGGGGGAACAATTTTCTTTTTAGCAAATCATGAAGAGTAGGTCCATAACAAAGAAAAATTAAAATTCTATGACTCACTCTGTATTTTATATAGACTTAATTAAATCAAATTTCTATTTTAGCTACAAAGTTTCAAGACAAAAAAATCTAAAAATGACTCTTAATTGTTAATTTAATGGTTACAAAAGAATACCACAACCCATTGTAAACACTTGAAAACAGTGTCAATACACTTTGACAGAAATCAGACTCCATCGATAAACTTCAGTGCAAGTCCATTCAGTCTTTCTTACCCCATTATGCTTCTGACGTACGTTTTCCAATGCTTAAGAGTTGAAAACAACCTTTCATGTGTAGTTGTTAACACTGGCAATGTTGCAGAAATCTGAAGAAGTTTCTTCACATTTGGAAAAAACCTGTCTATCACAGACAAGATATATGTCTAGTACATTTGATGACTTTTCTTGCAGGTGTAATCTTTTTTTTTTTTCATTTTTTACACTACAGTTCAAATTCTTCCATCATTGTGTCAGTATCTTGAAGGCATTCATTGTAAAGTTCTGAGCACTTGTTCAAGTTGGATTTTAAATGGACACAATTAATTGGGAGGAACACTTGCAGTTCCTGAACTACTTCCCTGTGCCTTGTAAACCTTTCTTGTAGATGACTGCAGAAAAAGTACAGAAATGGGATGTAGACATTTAGCCTATAACATTCCACTGGTGTTGGTGAAGTTGCCTGAATGTTGCTTTTCCAATTCTGTCTTGAACAGATGCAAGGAATCCTAACTTCTCTACCCATAAACTTCAGCACTGATCTTGCTGTGTTAAAGATCTCCTGAAATTCTTTCACGGATTCTGTGCGCATCTCTTTGGCTTTTTCTAAGAGACTGTCAACATGTTGCAGACAACAGAAAATGTTCATATCTACTCTTGGTAATGTTTTGCTAAGCTGAAGGGATGATGACATGGTTACTACAAATTTAACATTCAAAACAGCTAAAATAAGGTGTCCAAAAGTCTCACTGTTGTATTGAGGACTCTCTTTTCATTCTTCAAGTGTTCTCACCACCACACTGCACAGTTCAACAAAATGTAAGACATCATGTCACTCAACCCAACAGGTTTCACAAAGCGGCAGCAGGTCTTTTATATTTTTTCTTCAACAGGTCCAATCTGATAGATGATGCTCTGAAGAAACTGCAGAAGATGATATTGTTCATTGGCAGTTTTTGACAGGTGGCATGCTGCAAGTCTTTGCTAAGGTTAGATTTAGTGAGTGAGTACTGCAGTGGATGTAGACAGCCATTGGATTCTTCTGCAATATAATTGCTTGTGCACCACTAATATGACCATTCATATTAGCAGCTCCATCATAATCCTGTCTACTCAAGTATTGCAAGTTCAGCTCAATTTTTCCAGTGTTTTCAAAATAATGCCTGCAAGTCCTCCACCTGCCATATTACTTATTTTCATAAAGCCTATAAAGTCTTCTCTTATTTCTGCATTTTTAACATTGGTGTTCCTTAGCAGAAGTGATAACTGTTCTGAGCCACTCACACCCAAAGTTTCATCTTCCAAAACAGAGAAACACAGTGATGCATTGCATCTTTCAATTTTTTTTCAATTATCTTGTTATCACAATTGTCTATTAGTTCATTCTATATTTGATGACTAGTATACTAGACATTTATAGTCGCAGTTTCAAGAAGACTTTTCAAGTCAGTGTCTCCTGATCTGGCACAAGATCTCAACAAGGCCCTGAAATTACAATCATTGTGCAAAGCTTCTTCACAGGTAATAGATCCTGAAACATTGTTGTTGTTTATTTGTTCAGTCACTTCCGACTCTTCATGACCTCATAGACCAGCCCACACCAGAGCTCCCTGTCAGCCATTGCCACCCCCAGCTCCTTCAAGGTCAAGCCAGTCACTTCAAGGATAACATCCATCCATCTCCCCCTTGGTCAGCCCTACTTCCTTTTTCCTTTTATTTTCCCTAGCATCATTATCTTCTCCAAGTTTTCCTGTCTTCCCATTATGTGGCCAAAGTACCTCATCATTGCCTCTAATATCCTTCCATCCAGTGAGCACTCAGCCATTATTTCCTGGAGTGTGGACTGGTTTGTTCTTGTTGTCCAAGGTACTCCCAGAATTTTCCTCCAGCACCACAGTTCAAAAGCATCTATCTCAGCCTTCCTTATGGTTCAGCTCTTGCATTCATAGGTTACTATAGGGAATAAAATTGCTTTAACTATGCAGACCTTTGTTGCCAGTGTGATGTCTCTCCACTATTTTATCGAGCTTAGTCATTGCTCTCCTCCCACGAAGTAAGTGTCTTCTGATTTCCTGGCTGCAGTCTGTGGTGCTGGAGGAAAATTCTGAGAGTATCTTGGACTGCAGAATTCTTTGCATCTGGAAATACAAAGTCTGTCACTCCCTCCACATTTTCTCCTTCTATTTGCCAGTTATCAATCAGTCTGGTTGCAATAATCTTGGTTTTTTATGTTTAACTGCAACCCAACTTTTGCACTTTCTTCTTTCCCCATGGTTATAAGGCTCCTCAGCTCCTCTTTACTTTTAGACATCAAAAAGGTATCATTTGCACATCTAAGGTTGCTAATGTTCCTTTCAGCAATTATAACTCCAGCCTTGGATTCATCAAGTCCCATACATCGCATGATGTTTCTGCATACAAGTTGAATGGTAGAGTGAGAGTATACAGCCCTCCTGTACTCCTTTCCCAATCTTGAACCAGTCTGTTGTTCCATGGTCTGTTCTTACTGTTGTTACTTGGTTGTTATACAGATGCCTCAGTAGACAGACAAGGTGGCTTGGTATCCCCATACCACCAAGAACCTGAATCATTGCTCCCTCTTAAAGCTAGTTCTTGACAGTCACAATCGTTTCCACAATTGGCAGAAGTTTCTTTCTGTCTTCTGCTTTCTTCTATTTCCTTTATCTTGATGATGGGTGACATCAAAACATTTTTCACTGTGTCTTTGCTCCTGTTCCATGGTTTCTTTTGGTAGGGTTTGCATTAGATGAACCAGTGGTAGACACCTCAGTTTCCACAGTTGTCACCTACAATGCAGGGATCTTCATCATAACAGCGACTCAAGCTAGCAGACAATTGCACAGTATGGTAGCTGTGTTTGGAATGACCAACAGCTGTGTTCATGCGTTCCTTTTTTACCACAGTGGGAGGGAAGGAGCAAGAATGTGGATGTAACAGAGCTCTGAAAAGGAGAAGAGCAAGCGAGCAGTGATATGACTATTTTCAGGGTTTTAAAAATAATATTTCAAAAACTATTAAAGATTATTACATGGGGTACAAACAAATGAAACTATATAATAAAATATATTGTGTTCACATTTCACAAAAAGTTGATTAGAATAAGAGATACAGCACTTTGAAAAAAAATTATACATATATTTCACTTTAAATTGGAATATCTAAAATCATATGTTGGATGCATTTGCTCTAGAAGTTCAGCATCAAATGAGGTGGGATTTGAAGAGAGATTCCCTACAGATATTTACTTTGTGGTTGCTGAGCATAGAATAAAGCAAAAGAAGAGAGGTGGTAGAGAAATTGTTGCTGTTTCTCAGACCATCAGTCCGGTATTGGGATAGCATGATCAAAAACAAGGGATAGCATGATCCCCTGTTCTTTTTCATCAGCTTGTTGATGGTTTAAGTTCAGAAATCAAGAAAGTATAATTGTTCACTGTCTCTAAAGACAGACGGGACCTCAAAAACTTCATAGTATTGTTAACTGTTTTCCTGGTTTTTTCCCTCTGTTTTTTTTTCTAAATGCTTTTCTTAATCTCCTGATTCTGCAAATCTGTCAAAAGAAAAATCTTTACACATGTGTATACATCTGCCTGAAGCCTGCCATACAACTCACTCCAGAAGAAAGAAACAAAATGAAAAGACAAACCGTAACCATTGAAGAAGTAGCTTAGTTAGCATTAAATCACACCACATTGACATTGAATAAGTAGCTTAGTTTGCATTAAATGACATAGCATTGACACATACTTAAAACATAAACATGTAGAAACCAAATATAGCAGTTGTATAATCTGCAATTACTAGATGAGCAAGAAAATGTGGCCAAATTTGTATGTATTTAAAAGTTAATAACTAATACACTGAAGAATCTCAAAGCAGCTATTGTTAGTCAGTTATTTGAAATGAATGGATCCTGATTAAATGGAATTTGCAGAATTACATGGTATTTAACCTTCTGGTCAGAATAGACCACCCAGCGTGCATAATGTTTATCTTTCTATAATTGGTTTTAAGTAGAAAAGAAGAAGATTTAAAGAGGGAATTGGAGAATCTAGCTGGGTAGAACACCCTAAATTATAATATAGGGAAAGAATATGCAAAAATTAGATTGAAGTGGAAGAATTGATTTTACTAATTCACACATTCAATGTTATAGAGATGTTTACTCTACAAATGG